GTGTGACGTATGTGCATATACTAAATCTCTTCCAATCGTTTCGAGTGGAAAAAGAAAAGTCAGAAGCGTAAAGGAGTATACGTTTCTCCACTAGTGAAGGGTCTGCCATTCAAAGATGTGAGAAGCAAGGTACTTTTAATTATAGTGTATAATAATAATAATAATAAAAATACTAATACTAATAATAATAATTATTATAAACGGTTACAAGTATAGAAGAATTGTCTGTGTGTTTGTACAGTTATTTGTTTAAAATCAATTAGGTATTTGCTTAAAAATTTGATATATATCAAATTTGTGTGTGTGTTTGTCAGGAGAAGTCTTCAAAGGCAACCCCAGAAGTACATAAGGAAAAACAAGAAGTTGTGATCCAAAATCAGGTTTTTTTCTTATAATTATCATTAATATCTGATCTAAAAGACTGTAATTGGTCTGATGGCGAGTGAATGGTGCAATTATGATAGTAGTACAGCCTTTCAAGACATTGTCAGGAAGTTGCACAAATAGTACGTTACATTTCAAGTATGCATTTGTACTTAACAGTATCATGTCTTACAATCTAATATCTTAAAACAACTTTCACTGCTTGGTTGCACTTGTATGATTGTCTACTGTAAAATTGGTGGTAGGTAAGCATATTTGCTATGTTCATTAATTTCACTATTGCACTATATCACAGGCAGAGACGAAAGGTAATAGTGTTGATCAAATGTATGTGGAGCCCAAAACACTTGAGCAGACTGAAAAACAGAGAAAGGTAAAATTATTTAAATAATTAAAATAACACTTGAATTTGTGCTTTAATTCCATGTCATCATTGCATTATATGGTTTATTTTTGCATGATTATGATTGCATTTAATTTCGTGGGCCCTCACATTTATCTTGTGGTTTTCTAGAAGGTCCTGATCCAAACTTAGCACCGACACTGCTGTGCCCCATTAAAAACACACTTAATAGACTAAGATCACACACAACATTAAACAGTTATAACATTTTATATTTACACAGCATCATTGTATCGTCTGTATTTACAGAAAGCTCCAGTGAAGAATATCAGGAGAAGACGGTCGAAAATTGAGGGGCCAATCTGGAACGTGTTAAATCCATCTGAAATAACTGCTCCTAGAAGACTATCCAGGCCACCCAAAGTAAACATGCTACAACAAATCCTTCACCAGGATTTCTGGTTGACCTCTGATATCATCAACCTGGCCAGCTACATCATGGCAAAGGACAATGTGCACATTGATGGGTTTCAGTCAGTTCTGCCCTTTAGTGCTATTGAAAATGGAGGGATTGTGGGAACTCCACAAAACAAATTTGTGCAGATTTTGCACATTCGGCAAAACCACTGGATCACAGTTAGCAATTTATTTTGTGGTGAAAATCAGCTTTCTGTGTATGACAGTAAAAGTGCCCCTCTGGACCAAAGAACCCTACAGACACTGTCCTGGATGGTAAGGCCACAGTCAGAACATTTTTATGTTCTCCAACCAGCTGTGCAGCAGCAATCCAATCTAAGCAATTGTGGTGTGTTTTCAATAGCATTTGCATATGCTCTATGCAAGGGTCATCCACCAGAGCTATGCATGTTTAATGAAGGCAGGCTGAGGGCACAGCTGTATGCTTCATTAACAAAAAACAGCATCACATTTAGCATAAAGACTCGAGAGTGAAGCTGAGGCAAACGTTGACCAAAACTGCAGTACCAGTTTACTGTGTTTGCAGAACAGCTCATTACAAGGAGCTCATGGTCCAGTGCTGCAGCTGCCAACAGTGGTATCATCCTACATGTGTAGATATACCCAAAACTGTAATTGGAACTGATCAGGTCTGGCAATGTGTCACATGCCACTGATGGACACTACATGAGGTAGCATTTCTTAAAACAAATTTTAAGAAACGCCACATTGGATGGAACACCAAAAGAGTGCAATAAGTAGAAAGCTTTATTATTTTTTTTATTTTATGTTAGTATAATTGTAAATTATTTGAATATTTAAATGACACTGCTGCATTTGAACCTTGCATTTAATTAATTTATTTTTTTAATATATTTTTTTGTGTTTTATATAAAAAGTGAGTCTTTTTTTAAATATACATATATATATATATATATATATATGTTTTTTTTTTTGTGTGTGTGTTTTATATAAAAAGTAAATTGTGTGAATATTAAAGTACAGTGTAAACAGTGAAATCCAAGTGTCTATTTATTTCTGTTCTCTCAAAAAAGACAAAACATTTTTGTAACCGTGCAACATTATGCAAAAATTAGCTTTTTCATGAATAAATACAGTGTAAGAATGCACTTTTTGGGGTGAGTTTGCCTTTACTTTTCTCCAAAACGGACTTATAAATGAATACAGTAATAGTCAGGCTCAGTCTTAATACATATAAATCGAAAGAATGAGCTAACCTATAAAGGAACATTTTTTATGAGTGTTGGAAAATGGGACACAGTGCAAGTGCAAGGACGCATTTTGTTGTTTGGGGTGATTTTGCTTTTAGTTTTCTCCAAAACCATGCAGTAAAATGCCTTGGAAATAAATACAGTGATAGTCAGGCTCACTCTGAACACATATCAATTGAAAGAATGAGTTATCTCTCGCTGTATCTGTTCGTTTTGTTTTGCTTTTTGGGCTGCTTCAGCATAAGTCAACCCCTCAGTTATTCTCACATTTTGAATTTTCACAGCATGTTTGTGAGCAATGCATCCCCCAAATCCAGCACTATGCTCACCTCCACAGTTGCAGCATTTTGCCTTCGCTCCTTCGCCACATTTACCATATACATGATCACCCCCACATCTCGCACAACGTTGTCTTCCTCTACAAACTGCACTAACATGTCCATACTTCTGGCACTTGAAGCATCTAAGTGGAGGAGGTACGTATGGTCTTACTGGGTAACTTACATAGCCTATTTTTACCCTCTCTGGCATTCTTTCTTCATCAAACTGAAGCATAACCGATAGACTGTCCATCCTTTCTTTATTTCTCACATATTGAAGCCGTTTTGCTCCAATTACCTTCCCCCCTTCAACGCAACTTTTCATTTTATCAGCATGTACATCAGTAGGAATTCCAGTTATTACGCCTCTAACCCAAGGCTTCGTCTTCATCAATGTGCATGATACCGGGTATCCAAGCATCGAATTTATACTTAGTGCCTTATTTTGTTGTTTTTCGTCCTTACACATGATAATCAAGTTTCCATCTCTCAGAGTCTTTGCACTATTTATTTCTCCTAACGCTTTGTTCAGAGATTTGGTCAGTTTAATCGGGTTTATCGTCATACCAAATTTCATCATTACTTTGTATTCCTCTATATTTTTCCTACTCACATGATCCTCCTTTCCACTATCCGTAAATGATCATTGACTATTGTTTTTCTTTCTTTTCCGATTGACTACTTTCCACCATTCACTCCCTCTTACACTCCCGCTACACGATTCGTCTTCCATTTCCGGATCACTACCAGAGCTACCGTCATTTCCTGCCATCAGTGCTCCAGTCACAGTCCAGTGTTGCCGCCCGCCTCTCACACCAGAACCGCCTGAAGAGCCCCCTCCCTTCCCTCCGGAGACGATCTTCTTCTGTAAGTACACTGATATATGAATATGAACATGTATGTAATATACATCAAATATGTGTACAATACAAATATAATATTGTGTATTTGTTTAAGATGTACTAGATATAAGACTACTTCTAGTAGTTTTCCAATAGTACAACTGCAATTATTTATAAACTATTTAGAATGGTTTAATCTTTAGAATTATTATAATCTAGCAACCTAATTACTATGAATTTAAATTAAGGCACTAGGCAAGGTATTTTAATATCTATTTAATATTTAATACCTTATAATACAGAATCAACTTCAGGTGTGTGTACAAGGATGATTACGTCAGGCCTTTGCTATTTTTACAAGGACAGATCATTTTTATTGTAGACCAGAAAGGTAGATTAGTGTTTAAAAAGTAGTTTTAAAAAGTATAAGATCAGTCCAGTGTTGCCGCCCGCCTCTCACACCGGAACCGCCTGAAGAGCCCCCTCCCTTCCCTCCGGAGACGATCTTCTTCTGTAAGTACACTGATATATGAATATGAACATGTATGTAATATACATCAAATATGTGTACAATACAAATATAATATTGTGTATTTGTTTAAGATGTACTAGATATAAGACTACTTCTAGTAGTTTTCCAATAGTACAACTGCAATTATTTATCAACTATTTAGAATGGTTTAATCTTTAGAATTATTATAATCTAGCAACCTAATTACTATGAATTTAAATTAAGGCACTAGGCAAGGTATTTTAATATCTATTTAATATTTAATACCTTATAATACAGAATCAACACCTGTATTCAGGTGTGTGTACAAGGATGATTACGTCAGGCCTTTGCTATTTTTACAAGGACAGATAATTTTTATTGTAGACCAGAAAGGTAGATTAGTGTTTAAAAAGTAGTTTTAAAAAGTATAAGATGACTGCATAACGCTTGGCAAAGCTTTAAACTTAGGGGCTTTATTGTATGATTGTATAAATATAGATTGCAGCAAATCTGTTGCCAGTGTTACGTGTAATGGCGTTACATAATTTAATTACAAAATAAATGTAACGGCAATACGTTACAGTTACTGAGAGAAAAAAAGTGCAATTAAATTACAGTTACTCATTAAAATGTTGATTACATTCATAAATTTGTTTCAAGAGAAATTAATTTCCTTGTAGTAAATTTAATTCTGTAGGTTGTGTTCGGTTCCGTAAAAGATTTAAATCATGTAATGTTTCAAGAATAACATAGCATGCATCTATATATTTCTGCCTTCCTTGAGTACAAAAAAAGTATCAGAACCCTTAAACTTCTTTTAAACCATCATGATTTAATGTAAATAGATCAGTGTTGAATTAAGGCCAGTCGTATTAGAAGTCTCTTTGTTAACATTTGAAATCTAAATCCATCAAAAGACACAAAACCATATGCAGCATCATAAAATTTATTAAAAAAGACAAATACAAAATCAATACAGAAATCACTTTTATTAACAAACAAGATTTCAGATTGTCATGCATCAGTAAAGCAGCACATGGTGTTCCACTCTTCAACATGTCTGGAATAAGAACATTCAAGTTTTAAACCAGGGGACGACTAATGAGGTTTAACCACCTGGACTTTGCACTGGTCCGTAAATAATCATACAGAGATCTAAGCTATGGAGGTATTCCTCAAATCCAGCTTTGGATGAAACCCAAGACACTCGGGTGACATTCCACCACACCTTTAAGTCTTCAGTGCATGGAGAACATCATGTAAACATGTATTAGATCTCCTTTCAATAAACGTGACCAAGTTTTATATTCTATAAAAAGGCACAGGTTTTAAATAAACCAAATCTGACAGGTAAACTCTGAAAAGCCTGAAAAAGGCCAATGTACAAAAATACACTTAAATCAGACCTTTGGTTTTATATTGATACAGTACAAGATCCCAAAATAGCCACTATAGATTTGCTTAATGTGTTAAATTAATGATAAGAAAGGCCAGCACCCATTTATCACTCATTAGAAGGTCTAAGGCATGAATGCAAACTAGTTATTGGCAGTTAACAAGAGTGCAAACAGATAGTCCCAGATAAAAAGAAAATGCATAATTAGTAATTAAATAAATATAAAACACCATCACCATATAAATAACCCTCTGCTTACAACAGCAGTGGACACAAAACCCTCCCGACACACTTCTCTCACCCTATAAAGAAGATTGGTCTCCATTTCTGGCAACCAGCAACAAGTCAATAATAATGAGTCATTGTGGAACGTGAGCATGTCCAGATATTTATCCAAAGAGAACAAAAACACACAACATTTAACACACAAAAAAATACATTACGTAAGAGGAAGCACTTCAAAGATGTGAGATTCAAAACGACTCCAAGTGAATCTCAAATCTCAGTACATGTGTTTTGTAAAACATCTCATCCAGTTTGGTTTCCATCACACAATGTCCTCAACCTATCGCAGCTTTCTCCTCCTGAGGTATCCGCCGCGCTGGGCCTTGTTCATGCGCAGGCCCAGGTAGAGGACCAGCTTGATGGGGGCCAGAACGGTGGTCACCCAGCCCTGTGGGACACAAAGATAAGAAGGTTAGGGAGAAAACATGGTCAGTGAATGTATAAAGCACTGCTGGATGAGATGTTTAGGCTGTCGCACCATGACGGCGTGAGGGAAATAGCCGTTGGTCTGGTCTTGCAGTCCCACAGTAGTCAGTTCAGCAGCTACGTAGCGTTCAGGGGTGGGCTTGTCCAGGGTAGGCTTCCTGATCCTCGTCATCTTGGTAGCTACAAAGAAAGGCAGCACACTCTGGTGACAGAAAGATTTGATGTTATTCACGAAAATGTTCCGACTTCTGACTAAAAGAGCACTTTAGGCTGGCTGGATCTGGCAAAATCTTTACTATTCATATCTGATAGATATAAACAAAAACCTTAAGAGTCAACAAGACAAAAAAACAAAAACTTCATTAACTAATTAGTACAGTTCTTGGTGTATTTATGTACTGCCCTCAACAGTCTCTTGGTAACTGATGATGTATTTACACTACCATTCAAAAGTTTGGGGGTAGTAAGATTTTTAATGTTATTGAAATAAGCCTTTTATGCTCACTAAGAATGCATTTAATAGAAAATTCTGTAAAAATGGTCATATTTGGTATATAGTAATGATACATGGAAATAGTAAAATGACTTTTGTACTTTAATATATTTTTAAAAAGTAATTTATTCCAGAATAAATTTATTCCAGTTTTTAGTGTCACACGATCCTTCAGAAGTCCTTCTATAATGCCGATTTGGTGCTCAAGAAACATTTATTGTTATTAATGTTGAAAACAGTTGTGCTGCTTTATATTTTTGATGGAAACAGTCATACATTTTATTTAGGGTTCTTTGATAAATAGAAAGTTCAAAAAAAAAAAGTTCAAAAAAAGAAAGTTTTTTTTTTTTTTTTTTAATTGACACCTTTTACGGTTTTATTTCTTTACTCTCATTGTTTATTTAACGGATCCTTGCTAAATTAAAAAAAATAAAAATAAATAAATATATATATATATATATATATAAATAAAAATGATTGACCTGAAACTTTTGAACTATTATGTATTTAAAAAACAAAACACAATCATTTAATTTAATGCTGGTTCTCTCACCTGGATGATGATCCCTTTGCACTTGTACTCTGCTTGAAGTCCAAGTGAGAAGAAGTCCACAAAAGCCTATAGAAAGATGACAAGTAAAAATCAACTTCAAAAAATAAATAAATAAGACTAAAAATAAAACCAATAATTTCTAAATGCAACATGTAAATTAAGGCATCATAACATTATAGTACATTATAGAGTACAGTATAGCGTTATTTAATTAGTGTTTTTAAAAATTCTGTTTAAGTGAGCATTAAAAGACAGCAAATGAAAATGAGCACTATTAAATATCCAATATCAACTGATACAAATAATAAATAAATAAATGTAATAACTTAACTTTAGATTGTTCAGTACTAACAACTTGAAAAGTTTTTTTCTGAAACAATTATGACCACTGATATCTCTGGGAAGTATATTGTGAAGACACTCGCCTTGGTGGAGGAGTAGATGGTCAAGAGTGGGACGGGGAACATGCCACTGGCAGAGGAGATATTGAGGATGACACCCTTAGCTCTGCAATGAAAAAAAAGCTAACTTTATTTCAACTAATCACATTTGACATTGACATCAAATAGGGTATATTTCCAGCTGTGGAAACCTGAAAGCCGCCGTCACCCACTGTACTTCAAAACTCACATCTAATGATGGTCGCCATGTGTGTTGCCATGGCACCAGCTTTCTCATGCAGTACCCCTGCAGCCGCAGTAGAGTGCTGGGGAGTGCAGAGGGTTGGACCTATTTGTACAAAATTTGCCCAGCTCCATTATAGGCCCCAGAGTTGCACGTGACTCAGCAGCAGCCAATGGGATCAGTGCATTGTTGCTTTTCAATTTCACATAAAGAGTGGGAGGGGAACAGGAGGGGAGGGGAAAACCCTATTTTTAAAAGCTGCACTGAATTCCTTTTTAGTGACAGCGGCTGTGTTAGGAATTCCAGTAAGATGCTGGAAGGATGTTTTTATATTGTACACCAGGACTCACCTTGCCTCCATTCTGGGCAGCACCAGACGAGTCATCTGGAGAGAGAAAATAGGACAAAAAAAAACGAGTTCTCACATGCTCCAAAATGACTTGAGACAACATAAAAAATCTGAAACACTAATATATCACTCCTGCATTAGAGAGAAAGGGAGTGAGAGAGAGAGAATGCGTGGGTGGTGAACACGGGGAGCGTTGGTGGAGATCAGCAAAACACAGGGAGAGAGAACAGGTACAACAGTAGGAGGAGTACAACAAAGCGGTCACGTTACAGTACTTTTAAAATTTTAATTTTGAATTTTCAAAATTACGAATTCCGAAACCCTTCAGCAGCCCAATATGTTGTTTGCGTTTACTTACTTGGCACACTGAGGTGATGTTGACATTGATCATGTTGGTGATGAACTGCGAACGGAAATTAACAGGTGAATATTTCTTAACGACAATGGCTTCTAATAATTAAACCTTCCGTCTCAGACAAAGAAATTACTCACGTTTTCCAAATCAGGGATGTGGAGGAAGAATTCAGGGTATGGATATGAGATTCCCACATTGTTCACTATGAGACAAAAATAGAAAATCAGATATGGTTGAATATGACTGAGATTTTGCATCTGAAATAAACATGTTTTAAGAATCACCACTAGGTGGCGATAAAGCATCAGGAATGAGACGTGAGCTCTAAACGACATGGTAAAAAAAAACCCATCACGATTTCATGTGAACAAAAAAAAAACCTTTGTGAGAAGATGAGGCCAAATAAAAGAGGTTTCAAAGCAACACTGACAGGGAATCGTGAATGAAAGTTGTGTGCGTGTCGGCTTTCCGACAACTTTGAGGTTTGGGTTACTTACAAGATGTAATGACGTAAAAGAAACTTACCAAGGACTCCAATCTCCAGTCCAGCAAGACCCTTTTCGATTTTAGGATAGATATCAATCTGACCGTAGTCCACCGCGATGGTTTTTGTTTCCACATTATATGCGCATTCTGTAAACAGAGACATAAAAGACATTTAATGCAAAGAAACAATGCAAATGCTCATCGTTCCAGCTGCAGACATAATATTGGCATTGGAGAACTCTGTCCAAGATCAGGCATCCCTGCTATTGCTGCTGTTCTAAAAATAACTTCTCTGGGACTTTGCCCATTGCACCAAAACACAGATTTATGTTCAGCAGGGGGCGCTGCGTACCAAAGAAAGGCTGTCGGAGGAACTTCCTACATCTCCCCTCCCCTCCTCTGCTTGTTTGAGGTGCCTGCAGCAATTAGAATTTATTGTCCAAAGGTTCATTTGTCTAAACACTGTTCCAGTGAGTTATGAGAGGAAAATTCCTCTCAAGTCTCGCAGCAAGAAGCGTTTTTTTTTTTAATCGAAGGTTTATTTTAAGAACAAGAATGCACATAAATCAGCTCCGAAGTCTTTTTTTTTTGGCCAGGGGGCTTGTGGGATACTGCTCTGGGTGACTCCTAACACCCCAAATGGAGGATAATCAATGCAAATGTGAGGTTTGAGAACCAGATTTGGCAAATTACATTCTGGTTCGTGACTAGCCATAACCTCCCCCCTCCCACCCATTCTGTGATGCCAGCACGACTGTGGTACTGGCAGACTGGGATTTTCCCCCTTCCAACCTCAGCAGTTAAGCGGCTACATTTAAGACAGCTTAAAAGTTGATTATAGTAACATTTTATACTAATAAAAACAACTGTTTGCATCCATATGGAGCTTAAATGATTCCTGACAAAGTGTTTGAGTAAAATGGGTGCTTTCAAGAGCGAGTTAAGAAACTCCGGCAAGGCATTGTTACTTCATTATTCAGTGCACACACTGAGGCCAAATGAGTACAAAAAAATCTCCCATTCACAATCTCATGGCCTGTCATACTCCATTCATACCAAAAATAAATGGAGGGTTAAAAAGTGCAAATTAAGGACAAAGAGGCATAAGCACCTTAAAAATTTAAGGAAGGGGAGGATATAGTAATAATAATAATAATAATAAATTATTATTATTTTATTACCAATTAATTATTATAATTATTTCATATAAAATAGCTGTATATCGTCATTACTGACAACTAAAAGATTACATTTTCTGTAGTTGAAAAAGTTGAAAAAATAAGATTAAAAACAAAAATTAGAAATGTTGAACCATGCAAACTAAATAACTGAAATTAATTAAATAAAAATAGTTAGCTTATTCAAAATATTAATACATACTATAATAGTAAATAAATAGTTCTTCGCACAATAATTAATACAGCACACAATATTAACTTTACTAATAACTATTATATTATATGATATGATATGATATTATATTACAAAGACTAGCTTGGTTCATAGCATATGAAGAGATAAAGCAGAAATTGCTTTTACACTGAAAGCCTCAACAATGCCTCAAATGAATGATTGACGGTTGATGATTGACGGAACAATATCGGTTGTGATCCTTCACACGTCTGATTGGTCTAAACGGTAGATGTTTGGCCATACAGCACTCAGGGGACCAGTGACAGGCTGAAGGCCCAGACTGAAGAACCTTCATGTTACATGTACATCATCCGAGCAATTATCTAGCATCTAAAGAATTCACATTTACTGGAACAGGGAAGGCAAACAGTGGTTCGGCCCTATTCGGAGAAGTTTCGTGCATGACCCCTGGAGCTCAGCGTGGACCTTTGACTGTGCACTCCTGCCAGGCTGCATCAGCTCTCCGCCCAGTCAGTGAACCAGGCCCCCACCCTGCCTCTTAGGCCAGGGCTAAAAATAAACCCAATTTCATTAACATCAGGAGGACTGTCTGTCATTCACAGAGATGAGCACTGCGGTTTGCTAACACACACACACAGATGGCCAAATACTGACCGAGAGACTTTGCCACGTCGTCAAGCTTCTCCTGGGAACGGCTGATGAGCATCATGGAGAATCCTCGTCGAGCAAGCTGAGAGAGAGAGAGAAGATAGTTTAAATCACCTCATTTATGACAAAGAGAAACATTGCAAAGCATTTGTTAACAGTTGCCATTAAAACATCTCATAAAAGTGGCCCATGTCAGCTTCTTTGGCCATTTTCATGGTAAAAACCATAATTGAGTTAGTATTGGAATATAAAATAGAACATTTGACTCATTTTTTCCTCAGAATTCTACAACTAAATATGGATTAACTTAATTTCAACTGTACCAACATAACAGAACTTTTTAGAGAGGCGGAAATATTACCATATAATATCTAACAGACAATAAGACAAAATATCAAATTTTTGTTAAGATAAAAAAAGGTTAATATCCTCTCCTAAGGTTAATATGTAAAAACAACTAGAAGCAAGCTAGAAGTTTCTTGATTTCACTGAAAAATTTAAACATTGTGTCATTTTCAAAACATTTTCTGAATTCTGACCAGCCCAGCACAGCAACAGTGGCTCTACCAATGGCGTGGGTTTAGGGGTGGGACTATTTGTTTGTTTGACCAATAACAAAAGAGGGGAGTGTTTGAGGGAAACCTGTTTGAAGACAGTAACTCTTTTTCACAAATGTGGATTACTCTCTTTACTTTTAACTGTTATGAAAAAGCTAAAGACGAAGCTGAATGTTAACTTCAGGAGTGAGCAGTGACATGAAAGAACGGCTTTTAACTGTACAAGTTATGTGAGGTAACAGGTCTTTCCATCAGCAGTCTTCTAGACACCCTCCTTCTCTTGGCCTCAGAGTGAAACCTCTGTCTTGTGATGAGTCACTGTGCTTTCCGTGGAGCGAAGAGATAAATAAGAAGAGAAACTCTTACCTCCTCCGCATAGGATTTCCCAATTCCATCTGTGGCTCCCGTCACAACTGGAAAAAGGAGAAAGAAAGAGACAGGATCAGTGTTTGCGGCAGCTTAATTACTCATTTTGCAACAAAAACAAACTTGTCAAATGGTAAATTTGGGCAAAGTTTACTCGGATAGACCAAGTTCAAATCAAAACAATCCTACACCTGCCAAACTGCCATCTAAGGGAATATAAAATTAAAGGGTGTCATTTTAAATAATGTTAAAGCACTACTATATTTCAGCTTAATACATAAAAACTGTTCAAAGTAGCAATTTGTAGGTTGATTTCCCTGAAAAGCGCAAGTACTGACATTGAGAATCCCAACCAGGGGTGCGTTTCCCAAAAGCAACTAGGTCGCAAGTTCTGCCGTTACCAATAGAGTTCAGTGGAAATTAGTTACCACCATAGTTAGCTAATGATGCTTTTGGGAAATGCACCCCAGCTCAACATGGTAACCCTGGCTCAAGTAATGGGCCTAAGGCAGAGCTATAAGTTCAACCAATGGCAGATGATAGAAGTATTAATCATTTACTTCAGCCTCATTTCACACAACGCAACGGTTATTTCTTAAAACTACAGTGCATAATTTTTGATGTTAAAATACTCTTAGCCTAACATGTGAAGGCAACAATAGGCTAAACAAACCATTTCTATGTTAATGTCCTCAAAAAGTGTAAACACTTACTTGTGGCATTTTCAAAGCATTTGTTGTTTGAGAATCACGACAAGCCCAACATGGCAACACTGGCTTGTATATCTCAGCTAAACACATTAAAAAAATAAAACAATATATGAAAGCCATTTCTAGGTTGATTTCCTCAAGAACTATAAATACTGTGACTCTAAGGCATTTTAAGAACATTTTTTGTCATTTTAAAATTCTGACCAGCAACACTGGCTCAACCAATGATGTGAGTCGGGGGTGTGGCTATCAGATGGGAGACAGGTTCGAAAACAGTCATATTTGACATTCAATTTAGTGACTCTAGCGGCACAGAAATGACACCCTTCACATTTACAACCATTCGTTGAGAGCCAAAATACGTTTTTAGTGACCATAAATCCACCTAGAAATCTGACTTTGAATGGATTTGCCATTAACAAGTCTTTTTTTTTACTTCTATAGCACTTCACTCTGACCTAAAAACAGCTTGTAGTCTGACCAGACACATACTATAAAATATTACTAATAAACTCCAAAAAAAATAAATAAATTACAACACTCAACAGAGGCCCATCTCAATGTCCCATGATGCTCTTGTTTTGCAAAACGTAGAAATACAAAAAGCGAGCATTAAGACACAGTGTGTGATGGCTGATCAAAGGGTGGCATGGGCAGTGGTCATTCGCAAGAACAGGGCAGTGGGGGAGAGTGGGGGGGGGTTATGACGTCTGTAGAGCACGACAGCACAGGAGGGGTGAGGTGGGATCCTGGGGGCTGCTAAAAATAGAAACCATAGGGAGAAGGGGGGTGGAGGGGGGAATGGGAGACTGCGCAAAGTCAGATGTGGGTAGAAAGTGAGAGAGCACGACAACAGGAGCGAGAGCACTGGAACTAAAGACAGAAGGAACAAAAGGACAAAGTGATTCACAAGCTCCTTTTCAAATTCATCCTAAGAATGAAGCACATCCTAGTTTGTCTTAATGGAACAAACTACATTAAAGAGATAGGTCATGTCAAAATGAAAATTCTGTAATTTACTCGCCCTTATATGTCTTTCTTTCTTCTGTAGAATAAATATAGTTTGAGGAATGTCCATACAATTGAAGTCAATGATCACCAAAACTGTCTGACTGTCAACATTCTTCAAAATACCATATTTTGTGATTTGTAGAAGAAAGTAATTCAGGTTCTGAACAACACAAGAGTGAGTAAATGACATTATTCATTTTTGGGTGAACTACCACTGAATAACCGCAAAGAGATTGTGAGGATATGGCTGAAGAACAAAACTCATTATGAACATCTAAAATACTGTACATACTTCCTTCGTTTGATAAAAAAAAACGTCCAAATTTAGCCACAAATCCTTCAAAAAGTCAGAACAAACAGTAAAACGCTATTGGAGGCATTCTTAGAAACATTCTCCTTTCACAAAAGATGTGGCACGTGTTTCACATTTTCCCTAAACTTGAGGAATTCCAAGCTTAAAGTCAATTGTGAGAGTGTGCACATACACCAGAACACTTCAAACATGGAGTGAGAAGGGCTTGGGGACAATTCCCAGAATTCCATGCAAGGACAAGAACATGTTCTGCCACATCGTGGGCCATCAATCCATCGCTATAGTCATAAACCATCAAAATTTGACACATAGTCCAAGACTAATCAACATCTAGATTACTTAGATACCTGGGGAGCATTATGGGAGACGATTTTAATGCAAGAGACTGATCATAAATAAACAGCCGCCTGTCAAAACCCAAAACTATCCCACAGAAACACCTAAATCTGAGACAAACCATGAAGATGCATGTAAGTGGCTACACTATGAAAGCCACAGATGCTTGATACGTCTGTGAGCATGAGTCTTTTGTTAGCATGAACATTATTAAAAGCACAAAACAAATGTATAAAAATAGGCCCAGAACAGCCCCCTTTGCAAGCGAGATGGCACGAGCAGTCGTGCTCCGGTACTTTCACGAACAGTACGTTAAGAAATACGGAGCCGCACAGGCGCACTGGCCCTCCTCCGATTCAATATTCCAGCGCTAAAAAAAGCAGCCGAGTGAGTAAAAATAGCTGCCTCGTCTGGAACAGCCGCAGCACTTGAATACCAACAAGATGCTGCCCGCTCACCCTCAATCTCTCTCTCTCTGAATCCCCCAGCAACCCAGCTCATTGTAGAGCCTTCGGGGAAAAAAAAGAAAAAGCTGACCGGTTCTTATGGAACAGGGATTTTATGCTTGCAGCGGAGGACAGTCGTGAACGAAAACAGTGCTTACGGGCTCAAAAAACGCATCGGAGGCCAGTGTCGTGTAATTAAAAAGAGGGAAGAAGGGAGATTCAGCCGTCCACATTCAGACCGCTACTGTATGCAATCTGTCGCATCACTCTCTCTCTCCCTCCATGAATGAACCGTTACCGTTTTTGGCTCGGTAGCACTGCAGAATGCTAACACCTCCGCCCACTCCCCCCAAAGCAGCATCGTGCTTTAAATAGCACAAGCCAGTCACATGGCCAGCAGGAGAAACTACACACCAGAGCAGTTCAGCACCCAAAATAGCATCTATACTCGGATAAAGGTGGATTGAAGAAGAAGATGAAAAAAAAACGATGTGGGGGTGAGAGGGTACAATATCAGAAATAGCAGCAAAAAGTCACATGCCTGCCAAAAAAAAAAAAAAGGGAAAAAACCAAAGTTT